TTTCACGAGATTTGAACGTGATTTTAAATTCAGAAAAGCAGATCGTTAATAACATTCAAAATATTTTGTTTTTTCAGTGTATCTTTTTTTCGAATTATTTTTTCTTGGCGGATTTAAAAACCAAAGCTTCCTCCAATAACCGAATTCATCAATTTCCAAAAATATCAGTTTGCACGAACGTGTCTTTATTTGGAAACCATGTTTTCGTTAGCAATTTTGCCCTTTTTTTTTTTAGTTTTGAACGAAACTGTATACATGTATGAACATATTTAGATGGTAATTATTGTTCATACGAAACTATGTCAACAACAAACTCAACAAATAATACAATAGCACCTTTTGAACATTATCCTCTTACATTATACCTCTCACATTCCATTCAGTATGTATACACTGATAGCACGCATATACACACAAATACAAATAAATATCATTCAATCAACATTGTAGCTAGACAAAAACGTTGACATAAGCCAGTTATAATACTATTGGATATTCAATTGAATCACTGAAAGCTTACTGTTTATAAAGGAGGAGCGTCCTTGCTTATTCTTCAAATCAAAATATTATATGATCTAAGCGTTACTCAAATGTTATGGATTTTTTAGCATTTTGAAGCTATACGTATATGATTTATATAGGATTTTCGGTCTAGCTTACATCTTTTTACATCTGCAATATTATACATTTTTTGAAATTTCCATTCAATGAGTAAATGAAGTAGATCTGGCATTTTTCATCTTGATCGAGTATATCAACTCATGTTCGCCAAAATGCTATTCCTTCGTTATTGACTGGGACTTTCTAAGCAGGTGACATTTGTTGAACAGCTAAATGTTGTGCTTAACAAGGAACATATCTGTTTCGTCATCAGGTATTGACCGCTACACAAAGCCCTCCTTGAAGCACGTATCCTTTACAGCACATCATATCTGGGTCAGGGCAGGTGTAAGTCTCCGTCCGGTATCTGTCAGGACGATGTACAGGTTAACTGGTATGGTCATTTTTTATATAACGAGTGTGTAACATTTAAACGTCTTACATTAACAATAGTGACGATCTGAAAACTACTTCCATTGTTGATAGTGATACATTTTAAACTTCTTATATTATCGAAAGTGGTAAATTGAAAACTACCTATATTAACAAAAGTAATGATTTGAAAACTACTTCCATTGTTGATAGTGATAAAATGAAAACTTTTTAAATTAAAGATAGTGATAAATAGTGAACTACCTATATTAACAAATGTGATCAATTGAAAACGTCTTTATATGAACGATAGTGATAAATTGAAAACTTCTTATATTAACGATAGTGATAAATTGAAAACTTTCATTACAACCATTCTGCTGTATCTAATTAAAAAATAGTTTCAGAAATACAACCTTAATTAATCGAATCAAGGGAGATAACCTTTACATTATGCATCGTTTATTGAATAAAAACCGTTATGGGACACACAACAGTAAATATTTAAATGCCATAATGATATTTTGTTTTACAATGAAATTGATATTTAAACCATTGCAGAATTAAGTTACAGGTATATTTTCCTTTCTTTTGTGTAATTTATTATTTAGTACAAAGACAACTGATCCTCCATCTTGAAAAATTAGTAAAAAACAAATTTTAAATTAAAATAGTCAACAGAAACTAACAAATACGTTATCTATACTACATATTTAATGTTACATTACAATGTACCTGTACTGCGATGCCTTCCTAAAAACATAATTTGAAAATTCGGATTTACATGTAAAATAAGCATAATGCCATTTTACTTCAATTGTATTAAATCATGATGTTATATATTTATTATCATTTCTCCCAACTCCTCTTAACCGTTTACCAGTGTGTTATCACCACTTATTGCTGCATATAGCAATATATAGGTAAACCTTACTTACTTTGTACAAGTATTATCTGACCAGGGCGGACAAAACTCTTTTGTTGCCACTGTTCTCGTACAGGTGGTCATGATTGGCGTCTCACATGGTGCAAATGAACATCCTTCGATCTCTTCATTATCATCACCACTGCAAATGTACATAAAATGACCTTTCTATTCACACAATTACGACTATTATACAATAAATATGCTGGTCTCGTGAAATTCTTCATTCGGACAATAAATAGGATAGTATTTTGAATGAAAAATTAACTTTGGATAAGCATTTCAATTTTGATTTTCAAGTAATTTGCGTTTTTGTCATCATAAGGAAACAAATATTGAGTAACAGAAGGCTTGACAGAAACAAAACATAACCAATACAACTTTATAATGAACTATATCGGGTGATTTAGCCCCACAAATCTGACAGTTTTTTTTGGTTTTTTTAATAGTCCAAAACTTGCAAACGCAAATACACACATTTCGGTTTAAATATAAATCTTACTTAACTTGTTTTACATCCTTACTTAATAGAAATATGCACAGGTTATGACATTGTCCGCTTGATCGAATGATCAGTCAATATTTTTTTTATGAATACAATGGTATGACTTTTTATTATGTTTTATTTTCCTGACACTATGGCAACACTTACTCAAACGATTCCAGATTACGTTACTCTCTTTGTCTTATTTTATTGCCCGGTTAAACTTTGGTGACACTTACCCACACGATTCCGGATTACTTTACTCTCTCTGTCTTATTTTAGTGTCCGGTTTACATCGTGATACTTACCCACACGATTCCAGATTACTTTACTCTCTCTGTCTTATTTTATTGTCCGGTTAAACTATGGTGACACTTACCCACACGATTCCAGATTACTACACATTCTGTGTCCTGCTTTATTGTCAGATTACTATATTAACGCTTACCCGTACGATTCCTGATTACTACACACTCTGTGTCCTGTTTTATTGTCCGGTTACTATGGTAACACTTACCCACACGAGTCTGGATTA